CCGCGTGCACGATGTCGGGCCGGTGTCCGCTGCCGGTGATGACGCCGCTGCCAGTTCCCTGCTGTACAGAAGCGGTGCGCCGGAGGAGGAGTTGATACTACTGTACGAGAAGAAGAATGGAGACTCTGACGGCGTCGTATCTCTGAGCCTGGCAAAGCAGCTGGAGCAAATCAAGTCCGTGGTGCAGAGTTGGACTGCATTGGACGCCGCCTTGGATAAATGCAAACCCAGTGGCAGCCTCAACCCGCGGATAAATGGCGTGTGCAACGGTCCTGTTCCCACCAAAGGGCTGGTTGGCCTTTTGTCCAACACATTGGCCGGGAGTGCGTGGGTGGACGAGTACCGCGGCGTGAACGCGACTGTGAAAGGTGGGGCGGCGACAAGCGAGAAGGGAGGTGTGACGTTCAGCGGCGCCAGAGCGGGGGCGGAGTGGCCCGTGGGAAGCAGGGGGCAGAACCAGCCGTACTACTTTGCGAACAACAAGTTCACGCTTGCGGCGACGGTGATGATCCACACGGTGCCGGAGGAGGACACTCCTTTGCTGGGCGTGAGGATGAATGACGCAGCGAGCACCGTCCTCGTGGGTGTGTCGTGCACGCAGGACAAGAAGTGGAAAGTGACGGTCGGTGGTAAGAGCCGGAGTTTGTCAGATGATGATGTGACGTGGAAACCAGGCACAGCCTACCAAGTGATCTTGCAGATGGGTACTGGCGATGAGTTGTCTGTGCACATCGACGGGGACGAGATCTACGCGAGCGATGAAGACGAAGAAGAGGAAGATGGTGATGGCGGCGTCGCTTCTGAGGCGGTGAAGGCACTGTTCACTCCGCACAGGATCTCGCACTTCTACGTTGGCGGGGACGGGGCGGAGGGCACGAAGACCAGCCCCCACGTGACGGTGACGAACGTCCTGCTGTACAACCGCGCACTTGAGGTGGGTGAGATTACGCAGCTCAAAAACAGCAAAGTGACTCATCCACGGCCGGCTGCGGCCTCCCACGGGCCCAGCGACGATGTGGAGGACACCGATGATACTCTCGAGCAGGGGTCTGGGGAAAAGGGCGTTGGTGGTATTCCAGCGGCTGGAGCTCTTCCCCAGCGACTCTCTGACGGGCAAGCGCCCCCGAACCCAACAGTTGAAGCAGACGCCGCAGATCCCTCTTCTCCGGAGCCGGTGGTGGAGTCGTCGCCTTCCGCGCCTCCGTCCCCGGCGGAAGTAAAAATACAAGCACCGGGCGACAGTGACGAGGCGATGGTGGCAGGCGGCGGGGCGCAGTCGCCGCAGCCACCGGAGGAGGCCAAACGTGAGGGCGGCGGTCACGGTGGTGGTGGCGCCGAACTGCATCCTGACGGCCATGCCTCGCCCAGCGCGGCGGCGGCGGAGGAGGGGGCTGGAGAAGAGGAAAGCCGCGAGGATGCCTCGGCGTCTCCGCCGGCGCCATCCGCATCGAACGTGGGCCCTCCTGCTGCACCGGGCGGCAGTCAGACGCATGCCGGCGAGCCTGTCACCGCCAGTGAGAGACCAGCCATTGACCCCGAAGAGGAAAACGCTGCTCCAGGCCCAGCGGCGAGCTCAGGCGGCAGCCCTGCTTTGACCGACAACGCCGAACCACCCGCCGCAAAGGAGGCACCCGGCACTTCTTCGCCTGCCACCGCTGAATTGCCTCGTGGGGACAATGAGGAAGTGCCGCAGGGCGTTGAGAGCGCACCGGCCAATAAAAGCACAACACCCGCACCTCAGGCTGCCCCTGCGACGCGCGACGCTGCACCGCACTTGAGCAACAGCTCCGCTGCCTTCAAGAGCATAACTGGCTTGAGGATCAGCGAGGGAGACAGCGACGGCGCTGTGCGTGGGTGTGTGTCTCGGCTATTGCTGCTTGCCCTGCTGGGGCTGTGGGGCACGACGGCTGTCTGCTGAATGCAAGAGAGGGGGAGTGGATTGGTAACTCCTCGTGGAGAGTGTGCGCTGCGACCCTTGCGGGTCTCTTCATTTAAGTGTTCCTTTTTTTCTTTACTTCATTTTGCTTGTCGTCCCTGATAGGCAATCCTTCTCCCTCCTGTGCTCTGAGGGATGTTTTCTTTTCTTTTCTCCTTTTTACTTGCTTCGCCACCTCATGCACGTTCCCATGGGCGGCGCCCCCTTTTTCCCCCTCCTGTTTGCTGCCGCCACACACATACACACACGCGGTGCCGGCCGCATTGCTGCGCGCCGC